ACACCTAAAACTGATAAAAACAAATATAAGGAGTAAAATGGGACATGACTTACTGAACCACTCTCTTGTGATCAAACTTGAATCTCCAGATGTAAAACACTTTGATCCCCATAAATTTGGTGACTATGTTGAACTAATCTATCCCATCGAACTAGAGATAAAGGATACTACAGAAACAGTTAAGTCTGCCTCATATCTTGACTTACATATAGAAATTGACAATGAGGGTCGGTTGAAAACAAAACTTTACGACAAAAGAGATGATTTCAGCTTCCCAATTGTGAACTTTCCATTTCTATGTAGCAACATTCCAGCAGCGCCTGCATACGGAGTATATATCTCCCAATTGATACAATATTCCCAGGCTTGTATTTCCTATCATGATTTCCTTCATAGAGGATTGCTGCTCACAAGGAAGCTTTTAAATGAAGAGTTCCAAATGGTGAAGTTGAAATCATCCCTTCGTAAATTTTACGGACGCCATCACTATTTGGTTGACCGTTATGGAATAACCGTTTCACAGATGATATCGGATATGTTCCTTATGTCGTAACTACAATACCCTTCCCTTTTCACGAATGTGACCCACCGAATTAGACTATTTACCGGATTTGTAATAACATAAGCAACACGACGGGTGCCACAAGTGGAGCAGGATCTGCTTACCCTTCCGGAGCACCCCCAGTTTTTGGTGGGGTTCGTGTTGCTTAGTCGTTAGTTTTGTATGTTGTGTCATCTGTACTATTATTTGTTTGTATGTCTTTTTATTTTTGGCAATGGCGTTGTCAGTTTGTTTTCGATCTATGAGTTTGACTGTCCCTCTGGTATCTTTCGTCCCTCTTCTATTATGCACTGGAACACTTCTGGAAGCAAAGCTAGAGGCCTCTGTCTAAACCATTAGGTATTAGGGAAATAAAAAAAAAACCTACTAGTAATGTTGAGATGGACATCTCAGAAGTGGATGATGAAACAGAAGTTGAATTGGAACAAGATATTCATGATGAAAACTCATCTAATGTGGATGAACCAACTGATGATGAAACTGATGAATCAGAAAATGAACTCTCTGTTTTCAATGACCTTCTGGAATATGAATATGAATGTGAATTTTGAATGTTTTAATGTTTAAATAAAATTACATGTCTGCAACTCTAGTTTTTGGTACAATTTGAATATGACAGGGAACAACAGGGACCCAATGATTAAATGCCATTATGGTAAACAAATAATTTACAATTGAGGATTAATGACCAGACCAAGAAAAAAAAACTAAATGGTGAAATTTCATATTTTTTTTAGAAATTTCAAAACTTTTCTATATAAAATCATGACTTTCAAATACACAATTTTGCTGCCAGGAGAGTGCCAGAATGCAGGATTTAGCACCATTTACCCCAAGAGCTTCTAGGGGCCTTAAGCGGCCCACAAACCCCTCGCCGTAAGGCACCACGCTTATGCGAGGTGGCAAGCGCCCTGACGTGCACCTGTGGCCCCTACTCCTTAATAAGTGGACTAATTCAAAAAAAATTTTGGTAGCCTACTTGGCTACTGCTCTATTTTCTTAGCTTCAAACCCTGCCGGTTTAACTACAAGTATCACCTAGTTGTAACATTTTAAAAGATGCATGACAATGAAGTCTAGGTAAAAAAAACCTTGTCAGACATACTTGCACACAATAAAATTATTCCATTCTCAAATTATAATTGACATTTTCTTATAGTATCAAAGAAACAGACCAAACCGTGAAAACTTAACATTGACCAATGAAGGTCAAAGTCATATGAGACATGCCAGACATGTACACCTTACTATCATTACATACACCATTTAAAGTTGACTCATTGCTTATAGAATTTAAAAACAGACCAAAACACAAAAACTTAACATTGACCAATGAAACATGAAAATGAGGACAAGGTAAAATGTACCCTTCCAGACTGACATAGATATAGGAAGATGTGGTATGAGTGCCAATGAGACAACTCTCCATCCAAGTTACAAATTATAAAAGTAAACCATTATAGGTCAAGGTGACATGTTCACCATACAATCACTTCATACACCACATATACTTTACTTTTTTTTATATTATCTGAGGAACGTACCTTAACAAGTAACTTTCACCTTGATCACTTATGGATGAAATGTGATCGAGTACCTTGTCTGACGAACATGTAGACCTTGCAAGGAACCCATATAACAAATGAAGTTATACAATATACATATACATATACAGACATAAACACAAAGAATTAGTAAAAATCTTCATTAAAGGGCAACAACTCCCATAAGGATTCAAATGATGATTTCCACCAGGTTGACAGATTTGTAGAAATCTCCTCTTGCTAATAAAGTTTCTATCTATCCAACTATTAAACATTTCAAGATACAAGGTATACCTTAAAATCAAAGTGCTTGCTAGCACTCTCTACAAAGTCATTGAATTCAGATATGACTAATTTTTGTCTGATTTGTCTGATTTTTTCTGAACTCTATCTGAATAAATTCTGGAAATGTATATTCTGAACTGTCTGAATGTGATCTTAGTCACACATATAGGATTTGACTAGGACCTCAAGAGTTCATTTTAATATGTACAAGACCGAAACTCAACAATTTGTATGGTCTCTACAATACATGGAAAATTCTTATGACTACTACTTTTAATGGAATTTAAGAATTTAATAAAATTCCCATGTTGTTTTTTTTTGTATTTAAAGTGATAAAACAGTACATATATAAAAATAAATATAAGCTGTACAAATGTAAATTTACTGGTTGTACATCTTGAACAGTGAACTAAATCCTAATCACATTTATTTTTTAAATGTTCACTTCAAACCTTATCAATAATGCTTTCCCATTTTTTAACTTGCTTAATTTAAGGAATTTAATAAACTTATTATCTTAACTCGGTTAATTACATATAATCTAAACTCTCATTATAATCATTGTCAATTTTCAAATCCTGAGTATTACCTATTCTAAAATCATATCTGCATGAGACAAATTTAGAAAGTTAAGGAAAATTTAGAATTAAAATAAAACGTTTGGACAACAGTAAAACAGTATTAATTCTTTTCAGAATGTTAGACAAAATTCAGAAAAAATGGCCATTTAGAATCTGGTAACTTTGTAGTCATGGTAGTGGCTGAAGGATTAAGATTGCTCTCATTTTGAACTGTGAACCAACAGTGAAATATTGTATTGTATATATGCAATAGAAGGTATATCTTGAATTAAAGATATTGGTTCAACTATAATTAAGAACAAATGCAGATAACTCCAGTTTAAATATGTCCTTTAAAAAGGCTATTTGTATGACAGAATGATTTACTTACGCTATTTTCATTAAGATAGTTTTCTTGACAAGTATGGTAATATATATACACAAAATTTTGTTACTTGAACTCGGTTTTGACTGCATGAATGCTATTTTTAACATAGAAGTTGGTAAAAATCGTCATTTTCACGTAAATAACTCCTATAAAGAGTAGTTTGACAACTTTTGACAAAATGGACACAGTATTTGATTGCACTGTCAGATTTTCTCTATCACATAAAGTTTTCAGATAATAGACACATCTTGCATTTTACGCATATGTCTATTTTAGCCATGTGGGCCATGTTGGTAGGCAGGCTTGATCATCAGACTAATATCTTTAACTAGATATTTTAGAGACTTAAGTTCCAATTGGCCCAGTAGTTTCAGAAGGGAAGATACAAGTAAAAGTTAACGGACAACAATGGCAGATGACATCAACAGACAAAGAGAGGCACTAGGTAATAACAATAACTTACACTGGCTCTTTTGGTAATTTGAGCTAAAACAGGGATCCTATCAGTCAGGTTTTGCACAAATGAAACAGGTTGCATGTACAGTGCAAAACTTAACCCCGCCACATTCTTTATGTGCCTGTCCCAAGTCCGGAACCTGTAGTTCTGTGGTTGTCGTTGGTTCATGGCTGTCATATTTGTTTATCGTAAATTGTTTTGTTATAAATTAGGCCGTTATTTTTCTGAATTGAATTGTTTCATATTTTTCATGTTGGGCCTTTTATAGCTGACCATACGGTATGGGTTTTTTCTCATTGTTGAAGTCCGTACGGTTGCCTATAATTGCTTACATCCACTTCATTTAAACTTTGGTGGATAGTTGTCTCATTGCCAAACATACCACATCTCCTTATTTTTATAAAGTACTTTAAGCAATATTATGCTAGCCATAAAACCAGGAGCAACCCACCATTTTTTCTAAGAATGTCCTGTATCAAGTCAGGAATATGGCAGTTGTTATCTACAGTCTGTTTCTATGTATGTTGGCGTTTGTTTTTATTGTAGTTCAGTGTTTCTGTTGTTCCGTTGTTTTCCTCTTATATTATTATATATAGTTGATGTGTTTCCCTCAGTTTTAGTTTGTTACCCGGATTTGTTTTTGCTTAATTAAATTATGACTTTTGAACAGCGGTATACTACTGTTGCCTTTATAAATCATATTTCATTTTGCTTTTTCTTTGTTGATATAGTTCTTTTAAAGTGATTAATATTATAACTCAATGTTGACTGCTTTACCCCAAATTTTGACATTTTTACCTATTATGTCTGTTTGGTTTGTTCACACATTGTTGTCAATATAATGGAATTTGATGCGACTGTCATACAAGTGAGAAGTTTAGCTAGCTATAAAACCATGTTTAATCCATCATTTTCAACATAAGGAAATGCCTGTACCAAGTCAATATAATGACAATTGTTTTCCATTTGTTTGATGTGTTTGAGCTTTTGATTTTGCCTTTTGTTAAGGGACTTCCGTTTTGAATTTTTCTTGAAGTTCGGTATTTGTGTTATTTTTACTTTTTTCATTGATATTAATTAAAGAGAATTTCTAAAGCAAATCAACCTTGTCTGTTGGAGGATGATAAATTAAGTTTTCTCAAAAAAATTAAATCAGCAGTTTTTAATTAAACTATCAAAATAAGTATATTCGTAGGGTAACTTACCTTGAGTAAAGAAATAAGCTCTAGTTCCATCTCCTCTAACATAAAAATTCTCTGATAAACATCTGCCTGTTCACGAATAAATCAATATATTTTTTTTTTCATGATATCACATCAACATTAAAGAAATGAATTACTGTGATATCACATCAACATTAAAACAAGAGGCTGTCAGAGTGACAGCAAACTGGATTGTCCTGCATGAAAACAATATTTGCAAATCTGGACCCCCAAACAGGATCAAGTAAAAAAGAAGAAGTTTAGATTCAGCATTTCAAAGAACCCCATATATTCAATTTTTGTTGAATTCAAACATTTTAATTTAGGACCCCCGATTAGGACCAACTTGAAAACTTAGCTCAAAATCAAAAATCTAAATACATGTTTATTAATAAACAATATAAGTTTTAGTTCTTAAGGTGGCTGAGGTGTCTTCCTCCATCTTGGATTTTGAAAAGCAGATAACAATCGGTCAAGATCTTTACTGAAATGTGCAAATTTTGAGAGTAGTATGTAATTCATTTGTAAGACTTTTCGTGTTGATATAGAAAATTATGTGTTTTATCATATTTTACGGCTGTATTTTACAAAAAGTAGAATTTTTTTTTTTCTTCATTTTTTTTCAATTCTGCAACATAAGGGGAGATAACTCAGATAAAATAACTTTTATAATAGAATGTGTTATGAATTTATCTTTTCTATGATGTAGCAAGAAAACGAGTTCTTTGACCCCACTTTTTCTTTTTCTTAACTGAAAGCATATTATAAGAGCTATCTTCTCATATTTTATCTTAAAATTCTATGGTTTAGTTTTCTTTTTGTCACAAAACAATGAGTTTTCCAGGCATAATCTATACAAAATATGACAATTTTGCACAACCTGTAGCTCGAAAAAAAACCCGGTTACCCATACTTTTTATTATATTTTTGTTAAAAGCATGACATAAACTACTTTTTGACAAATTTATTAAAAAATTCTATGGATTTTAATTTAGACACCCCCCCATCTACCTTAAAGGGGTTTGCTCCATAAAATATATTTATATATATATATACCTTTCAGAAAATTAGTTTATACAGAATAACAAACAAACCTACCACAAAACATTTACCAAAAAACAAAAGAATTTTTTTTTTTTCACCAAAAATATCATTTATCCTTAATACTATAATAATAATTAATATTAATCTATAAAACTTATCTGTAATTACTTTCAAAATATATAATAATGAGCAGTAAATTTCAAACTATATTTATACTGTCCTACATCATCAACACTTAGGAAACACAAAATTTTCAAATAAATATGTCACTCCAATTATAATTTTGTCAGTTGATAATTACCACATATTTTTTATCTTGATAAAAGGTGCAAACTATTGCATGAATAAAACAGATACAATCTATCTATCCATTTACTTATTAATTACACCATTTCTGTTCAAAGGGAAATAACTCAAAATAAATAAATCATATAATAAGTATCACTTTTGCTATAACTCAACATCGAGAACAGTTAAAATCGTGATAATTGAACTTGACCTTCATTTAGTCACAGGAAACAACATAACTTAATTTGAAAAGATTTCAATAAAGTGTTTACATGTTAATGAACGGACACTATGTGGCAGCCGAAAGCCGGCCCGCCAGCCGTACATCTCCAAATCAATAACCGATTTTTTCCTTTGAATATCGGGTTTAAAATGAATGACTGTGATATCACATCAACATTTACTGTATTGTTATCCTGCTATCACATCAACATTAAAGAAATGAATAACAGTGATATCACATCAACATTAAAGGAATAAATTACCCTGATTTTATCCCCATATATGTTTCTATATATATCATGAACATTTCAACAATAAAAGTAGCATTATCGAGGAGTATTAAGTATTATATCTTAAAATGTGGGAAATAATATATCCTGTAATCCCATCCAATCTTATACTGTTATAATATCAAATACCTTGTTTAAACCTTAACTGAGCCATATCATATCTTCCATAATCCCTGAGGAGAATAGTCCCTCCTGGTTTTAAATATCTGGTCAATCTGTTCACCACATATTGCATTCTATAAAAAAAAATCCTTCAAATGCTTCTTTACATCAAGTTAGAGGACAACTATTTAACTACAATGTAGTAAAAGTGAAATTATGTTTTTGTGCTGTACTTCTGTCACGTAGTGTTGTCATTTGAGCGATATTTTTTAACATTGTCATAAAAGCGGGAGGTTTGGCTAGCCATAAAATTAGGTTCAACCCACCATTTTTCTTTAAATGTCCTGTACCAAGTCAGGAATATGGCAGTTGTTATCAAATAATTCGTTTCTATGTATGTTGGCATGTGTTTTTGTTGCACTTCAGTGTTCCTATTGTTCCTTTGTTTTCCTCTTATAGTTGATGTGTTTCTCTCGGTTTTAGTTTGTAACCAGGATTTGTTTTCTCTCAATCAATTTATGACTTTTGAACACCGGTATACTACTGCTGCCTTTATTATGATATCTGCAATATACAACTGACTGGAATATCGTTTTATAGATGAAATTTTTGATTAATATGAATACAATTCACTCTGGATGTAAATTTCTGTCTCAAGATCATAAATAATACATTTTCAAGCAGATAGGCCATACAAAATTCACTTTCATATTCATTTTCATCCACAAGTATGTAACTTTAAGTGACGCACTACTACCTTGTAGCACAAATGAAAGCTTCATTCCTCACAACAATTTTCGGCAAAGTACTTCTGCTTTTTCTGTCATAATGCAATTTCTTGTTAGTTCCTTGCATTACTTGCTATCATGGCAGCTTATTTATGCAAACAAAGATTGGAAGATGAGTCAAATCTCTTTCTTGATGTACAAGGGTCATCTGGGCAATATTCATTGATTTGCTACTAAAATTTAGTGCTCACATAATGAAATAACACAGTCATGTGACAACTTGTACAAATTGAAAGGATGTAACAAACATTTGGGGGTCGAAGGAACTAAAAGTTTCATTTGGGATACAGGGTGGTGCACTAAGACGCCGATTTCTTTTCCATTATACAGATGTCTATTTTTTATTAAAAATGTGTTGTTAGGTTACTGATCTATGGACATCTTTGACATAAGATAAATACAAACATTCAACCTAAGAAAATTAAATATTGATCAATGAACCATGAAAATGAGGTCAAAATCAGATGAGCAATGCCAGACAACATGTACACCATGCAAAAATTCCATGCACCAAATTTAGTTGACCTATTGCTTTCAGTATCTGAAAAACAAAAATAACCACGAAAACTTAACTTTGACCAATGAACCATGAAAATGAGGTCAAGGTCAGATGAATTCTGCAAGACGGAAATACACCTGTTAAAATGTAGACCTTGCAAGGAACCATATACCAAATATAAATATTCTATTTCTTATAATATGTAAGAATTTCACAAGATAAAAAAAACAAGTGAATCTGTGAGCTACTGCTCACTAGTGATACCCCCGCCCCATTAAAAGTATAAGGTAAACAGGAAGTTGTTGAGTGATGAATCTGAAAATGCATCACACGGTATAGCTGACTCATATAAACCCTGAAACCAAATTTCAGAAATCCTTGTAATGTAGTTTCTGAGAAAGATGGGACAAAAAATATTCACGGGACGGACAGAGGGACTGATGGATGGATGGATGGACAGACAGACAGACAGACAGAGGTAAAACAGAGGTAAAACAGTATACCCCCACTTTTTTAAAGCGGGGGTATAAAAACTTTTCGAGCATTCCCTTCACCTTGAAAATGAGGTCAAGGACAATGGACATATGACGGACAGAAATTTCATAGCACAAGGCATCTGCATAAAAGGTATTAAGCATCCAGGTCATCTACCTTCTATAATATAAAGCTTTAAAGAAATAGTTTAGGCTGTCGACGCCGCGGGATGTAATCTATAAGTCTCACAGCCTGCAACAAAATTTCGTTGCAGGCAAGACAAAAATGAGGTTAGTTCAGAGGAAGGTGATGTCTGCTACTTCAACTTTAATGGGGAAATAAACATTGAATTCACCTGCATGTTTACTGATAGTGCAACACACTATTTTAATTCATAACATCTGCTCAAAGAGGAGGAGAGAGAGAAGATTGATAGTTAGGGTTTCAACACTCTTGGCTATATCATGACATTTTATTTGTGCAGGAGGCAGAGTATATGGAGAGAATCACCAACCTTCTGACAGAACAAAACTGGCAGTTCTAGTTAATTAAAACTGGAATCGAACACACTGCCCATGAGCAGCGTTTGAATTCACAACATCAGTGTAGACAGATTAGCAATCGCTCTGCCACGAGGTGGAGAGAGTAGCTATTTGTATGTGTGAGAAATGCAAAAGTATTGTACTTACTTTTCTGGTGAAATGGAAGACAAAACAAATATTATAGTGACAATATCCAAAGAATTATCAGAAATTGGAGTAGCTGACATCTCATCTGATATATCACATACAAATGCATTACAGCGGTCTTGGTTGTAGTCTGGGTGACCCTAGAAAATATTGAAATAAAACATTGTGACATAACAAGGGTGTGGGAAACAAGAACATAAAGTACTGCTGAGATTTATAATGAAAAGGTCTGGGTAAAAGGACATTAATTACTGCTGATATTTATATTGAAAAGGTCTGGGTAAAAGGACATTAATTACTGCTGATATTTATAATGAAAAGTTCTGGGTAAGAAGGACATTAATTACTGCTGATATTTATAATGAAAAGTTCTGGGTAACAAGGACATTAATTACTGCTGATATTTATAATGAAAAGTTCTGGGTAAAAGGACATTAATTACTGCTGATATTTATAATGAAAAGTTCTGGGTAAGAAGGACATTAATTACTGCTGATATTTATAATGAAAAGTTCTGGGTAAGAAGGACATTAATTACTGCTGATATTTATAATGAAAAGTTCCTAGAAACAAGGACATTAATTCCTGCTTAGATTTATAATAAAAAATTCTTGGTAACAAGGACATTAATTATTGCTGAGATTTATAATGATAAGTTCTGGGAAGCGAGGACATTAATTACTGCGGAGATTTATAATGAAAAGTTCTGGGTAAGAAGGACATTAATTACTGCCAAGATTTATAATGATAAGTTCTGGAAAACATGGACATTAATTTCTGCTGAGATTTATTATAGAAAGTTCTGGTTAACAAGGACATTAATTACTGCCGAGATTTAAAATGAAAAGTTCTGGTCAACAAGGACATTAATTACTGCTGATATTTATAATGAAATGGGAAACAAGAACATTAAGTACAGCTGAGATTTATAATGAACAGTTCTGGGTAAGAAGGACATTAATTACTGCTGAGATTTATAATGAAAAGTTCTGGGTAACAAGGACATTAATTACTATTGAGATTTATAATGAAAAGTTCTGGGAAACAAGGACATTAATTACTGCTGTCTCAGATTAATCACGAAAAGTTCTAGGTAACAAGGACATTAATTACTGAAGGTTGCACTTTGTAAATACAGCTGTTTCACAAACCACGACTCTTTTGGGGAGATATATAATATTCATAGATATTTTGTTTTGTTTACGTACTGGTTCCCGGATAAGATATCTATGTTGCATCTCATAGAAATATAACTTGGGAATGTTACCAGTATAAATACACATGGATATCGGCAAAATTGAATTCTGAGGAAAACCAAAGTGAAGGGAGGAGTAGTACAGAATTTTAGTACAAGTTTAAACTCTTAGACGTTGGGGCTTATACATGTTGAAAAGATGCCACACATCCCTATGTTTTGACCTTTGAAAAAAATTGTAGTGCATATTAACTTTCATTCTAGGATATATTTTTTTACGAAACTTCATATTAAAAGTGGCACAGTTTTAGCCGTAAAAGGAGTTCCAATTGGAAATTGAATTGTCTATATTTACAAAAGTGTAACCTGAAGACATTCATCAAAAAAGTTCTGGGTATCAAGGACATTACTTACAACTAACAGTTATTAAGAACAATTCTGGGTAACAAAGAAATTAATTACTAATGACATTTATCAAGAAAGTTCTGGGTAACAAGAACATTAAGGACCGAAGACATTTATCAAGAAAAGTTCTGGGTGACAAGGACATTAAATACTGAAGACATGTATTAACATAAGTTCTGGGTAACAAAGACATTAATTACTAATGACATTTATCAAGAAAAGTTCTGGGTTTTTTCAAGCCCGTGACTACAGAAATGGCTTTTGTTAATCTGTATTATATAAGTATTCGATATAAATGCAAGTAGTTTGATTAAATTATTGTTCATGTGTGCAAAAATTAAAGCCATGATTAGTCACATTTTTACATTTTTCCTCAATTTTAAAGGGTACGGACATTCTTTGCTTTATCATTAGATTTTTTAAGAGAAAATAATTCATCTCAAGAGGTAAAAGTGTAAAATACATTAAAACATTCATATATGCCAAAAGATTGGAGTTAACAAAAGCATTTGGATGTTAGATGGATATTTATGGCATTCAATTCTAAATCAGAAAAATCTAAAATTATCTGTTTTTTTAATTTCTTTGAGAACAAAATTAACTTTAAACGATCTAGGAGTCTTAAAATAATGCACTTAATGATAAATCTATTTCTTCCCTCCACATGGGAAAGCCAATAGTTTTGGACATAACATACATATTTTGTTTTAAAAGGATAAATGACAAAATTTAAGAAAATCTGAAAAGTCCCCAACCTTTGGCTACACAAATGATATTCATGTAGCCAAATGGTTTCCAAATATATATGTTGTACATAGTTACTACTAATTTTTGCTAGATTATACTTCAATTGAATTATTTAAATTGTTCATTTGTAAATATTCACAGTTCTAGTTGAAAATTTTTTAGGATGTAGGGTTAATATTTTTCAACATATGCAGTATAAGAGATGTGAGGGATACCAAAGTGACATTAAAACTCATAAGTCGAAAATAAACTGACAACGCCATGGCTAAAAAAGAGAAAGACAAACAGACAAATAACAGTACACAAAACAACATAGAAAACCAAAGACTGAGCAACAAGAACCCAACCAAAAACTTAGGGTGATCTCAGGTACTCTGGAAGGGTGAGCAGATCCTACCACATATGGCACCCCTCGTTTAGCTCATGTAAGTACAAATATTTATCCTAATCCTATTAAAACTACCAATGCCTAGTGTTTCCACAAAAAATTAAACATTCTTGTTTCAATTGAGATCAACCGAACTGTTTTAGCAAAAGCAGATAGGTCATAACAGGCAAAAGAAGGAAAAATCTTACTAAATCTGGAAATTTGAAAATATATTTACAATTTCCTCATATTCTGACTACAAATCGTGCTTAAAACCTAAAAATGCCACCAAAAATTTCAACTACCTCCATAATTATTAGAATACATCAAATAATCAATGTTTATATTTTTTTTGGTGTTTGTTAACAATCGAAAGGACCTTTTTTGGCATTTTTGCCTATTTTGCATGGGGTAGGGGTATGTATTTCAATTGTGAGAATAATCCTGATAATATTTAGAAAGCTAATACCATAAGCTTTTATTTGATCCCATATATGAATATGCACTGAATTCTAGCATCTAGTAGACCTCATTAAGTGCATGGTAGTGTATTCCAAGTACCTTATGTTGGTCATCCATCTTTAATTTGGAGGCCATAAAGGATTTTTTTTCATGGCTTCATATCATATCCAACAAGAGTGCACACGCTGAAATGTCTGGCCTTCTTTACTAACCATTGATTTTATGTTGATAGTCCTAAATATAAAGCTTTACTACAAGTAACACATAAACTTAACATGATCCAAGAAAATGAGGTCAAGGTCAGATAAACCAAACGAGAAATACATGTACACATTACTATCATTCAATAAACCAAACATAGTTGACCTATTGCTTATAGTTTAATAAACAGTCTTAACCAAGAAAATTAACATTGACCAATGAACCATGAAAATGAGGTCAAGGTCAGATGAACCATGCCAGACAGACATGTACACCTTACAATCAATGTATGCATTAAATATAGTTGACCTATTGATTATAGTATCTAAGAAACAAACTTAACCATGAAAACTTAACATTGACCAATGAACCATGAAAATGAGGTCAAGGTCAGATGATACCTGCCAGACAGACATATACACCTTACAATCCTTCCATACAACAAATATAGTTGATCTATTGCTTATAGTTGAAGAAAAACAGACCAAAACACAAAAAACTTAACACTGAGAAATGAACCGTGAAAATAAGGTCAAGGTCAAATAAAACCTGCGAGACTGACATGTACATCATAAAATATTTCCATGCACCAAATATAGTTGACCTATTGCATATAGTATTAGAAAAAAAGACCAAAACTCAAAAACTTAACTTTGACCTCTGAACCATGAAAATGAGGTCAAGGTCAGATGACACCTACCAGTTGGACATGTACACCTTACAATCCTTCCATACACCAAATATACTAGACCTATTGCTTATAGTATCTGATATGGACTTGACCACCAAAACGTAACCTTGTTCACTGATCCATGAAATGAGGTCGAGGTCAAATGAAAATTGTCTGACGGGCATGAGAACCTTGCAAGGTACGCACATACTAAATATAGTTATCCTATTACTCATAATAATAAAGAAATTAGCATTACAAAAAATGTTGACTTTTTTTCAAGTAGTCACTGAACCATGAAAATGAGGTCAAGGACAATGGACATATGACAGACGGAAACCTCGTAACATAAGGCATCTATATACAAAGTATGAAGCATCCAGGTCTTCTAGCTTCTAAAATATTAAGCTTATAAGAACTTAGCTAACACCGTTGCAGCCGCCGCCGTCCCCGCCGGATCACTATCCCTATGTTGAGCTTTTTGCGACAAAAGTTGCAGGCTAGACAAAAATGTTCATTAGCATCACTGTGCAAAGTTTTTACCCTAAAGTGATAAATTTTTCCAATATCTGCTGGACTATTAAGATCAAAGTCATTTGAAAAATTTGTGATAACTGTTAATAAATATTGATGGTACTAACTTCTGTAATATATGTTTTAGTATAACTATGCCTACAAAGTAGTATTGATAACTTCTAATAAAATTACAATCAACATAAATGCTGTATTCTGCATAATCACTGACTCATTTAGGGTAATATATTGATTTGAATATTAATATTTTTCATTTAAGAAACAATATATTTCGATTTGAAATCTTAATAATAATGTTTCGAAATGGTTTTTAAAATATTCGAATAAATATCTCCTATAATGAAAAGGAAGAGAAGTTTACATATATATATATGTAGGACTCTAAAGTGCGATGGTACTCTAAAGTGCGATGGTGTTAGACGCTAAAGTACGATGGTTGTTTGTTTGTTTTAGTGCAAATAGATGACACGCTAAAGTGCGATGGTATGACACGCTAAAGTGCGATTGTATAAGACACGCTAAAGTGCGATGGTATAACACGCCAAAGTGCGATGGTCCG